TGCTCCTGACTGTGGGCCCTCAGAAACTGAGAAATACTCCTCCTTCCTTAGCTTCTAAGTTTTGGGGTAACCTGTTCAATGGCAAATAGTAACTAATACAAGATCCACCCACAGCCTTCTCCAGGGCACAGAACAGCAAGGCCACCACTCCAGGTGCTCACACCAAACTTCAGACTTGCTGCCCACAGACCTGGGAAGACTTCTGGTCACCCTCACACACCTACCTCTACCCCCACCACACCAGTCCAAGGCACTAAGGCCTCTCCACTAATGGTACAGCCAGCTCCCAACTGGTTCCCCTGCCTCCTTTCACCTTCTCTTCAATGTGACAGTCAAAGTGACCCTTGAAAACTTGTCAGGTCAGATGATTCTTCTGCCAAAACTGCAGCTCCACACTTGAGGCCTGGGACACTGGAGGCCACCCACCTTGTCACCTCTCTGACCTGTTTGCTCATCTCTCCTCCCCTCCAGCCCTCACTTGCCCTCCTGACACAGGACCTCTGCTGGAACTGCTCTGTCTACTTAGAACTTCTTCATCTGATACCCACAGTCTCCATCACTTTTCCTCCCCTCTCAAATCCCACCTTCCCAAGGAAGACATTCAGCACCCCCCCCCCCTGGTCTCGCTCCCTCATCCTGCTCTCCAGTCTCTAAGTCACTGCCCCCCTCTCACACACCTCCATGGCTGTACATGGCTGGTTGTCCTCAGAGTGCAAGCTCCACAGGCAGGCATCTCTGACTGTAGTGTGCATCAGCATCACCCCAAATGCCTGCACACAGCAGCACTTAAATAAACATCTGCTGAAAGGACAAATGAATTCTGGTGGGGTCTGAGCCCATTCCTTTGGTTATTTTTATTTTTTAGTTGTAGGTGGACACAATACCTTTATTTTATTTTTATGTGGTGCTGAGGGTCAAACCCAGTGCCTCACACATGCTGGGCCAGAGCTCTACCACTGAGCCACTACCCYAGCCCTGAACCCATTTCTTAAAAATGTAGTGATGCACRTGAGCATGGTAGTGCACACCTGTAATCCCAACAATCCATGAGGCTGAGACAGGAGGATCACAGATTGAGACCAGCCTGAGCTACTTAGCAAGACCCTGTCTCAAAATAAAAAATAAATAGAGCTGGAAGTGAAGCTCAGTGGTAAAGCACTCATGGGTTCGATCCCAGGTACCAAAAAACAAATAAACAAAAAACCCCAAACCAAATAATGATACAATAGCTTCTAATTAGTAAAAGTCCACTACAACAGGTAAGAAAGACTAAGTTTAAATACTTATTTGGCTCTTTCAGAGATGGACCTGAAAAGCCCGTCCTTTTCTGTTTTGCTTGCTTGGTCAAGCACACCTCAACAGAGGTGCATATATTCCAGGCACGAAGGCACCTGCGCTGGGAAAGGTACCCAGCAGGGTGAGGGTGAGGGTGAGGGTGAGGGCCGCCTGCCTCTCGACCCGGGCAGCCCCTATTCAAAACGCTTGCGTGGCTCCTCCACCCTCTACGCGCCCCGCTGCCCCGCTGCGCACGCGGGCCCGCCCGGTTCCTTGGAGAGCGAGAAGCCTTCCCGGTCGGACCCTGGTCGCTCTGGCAACCAGCGCGGCCCGGTGCCCCGTCCTGCCAGTAGACTGTCCTCGCGCGGACGCAGCCCCGCGCCGCGGGCTGGCGATGTTCTCCAGCTCCGCCTCGGGGAGGCCGTTTCCAAATACCGGCAAAGCGGCTCTCAGCCCGGCGGCGGCGCACGCCGGTAGCCCAGCGGCTCCAGAGGCCGCGGCGGGAGGATGGCAAGTGTGAGGCCGGCCAGGGCTCACGCGACGGGCCCGCCAGCCTTCCGGCGGCGCGGCAGGCTCCGGGCGGGCCCCACGGTGCGCGGTGCGGCGGCGGCCTCTCTGCGGGCGCGCAGGCGGCTCCGGGCGCATCCGCACCGCCGAGCGCTGCGGGCGCAGCCGCCGCCGACCGCGCACCCGAGCACGGCGGCGCGCGGGCGGCGCGGGCCTACCTCGGCGTCGCGGTTCAGGCGGTACACGTAGAGCTGCGAGGTCCCGGCCACCACCAGGTTGCGCTCGCTGTTGTTGAAGAAGTTGCAGTACATCGCGAACTCGAGGCCGGTGGGAGGGTGCGCCTGCTTGTAGACCGCGTACATGGTGACGGTGAGGCCGCCGCGGCCGACTGGGGGACCAGGACAGCAGCGGACGCGGTCCGGCCGCGCGCGGAAGCCGAGCTGTGCGTTCCGCCCTCTGGCGTCTGCGCGGCGGCAGCGGCGGCCGGCGGCAGCGGCCCCTGGCGGCCGGGAGGGTCCCTGCGCCGCGTTCTCCGCTTCCCCCGCGGCCCCAGGGTAGGCGTGCCGCCCGCTCCCAGCCCCCATCCTCGAAGTGCAGGGAAAGAGGGTGGTCATACCCGAAAACGGCTTGGAAACGTGTTCATGCCAGGCCCCTGTCCGCCGCCCAAGCACTGAGCAGTGGACTGACGGCACTTGGGTGCTCAGACGGGTAGGTGACCTTGAGCCACCCCCAACCCCGTAAAACGTGTTGAGACGGACCAGCCCTCGGACGCGGCACAGCCTGGCGCCCGCTTCACAGGGCGTCTACATTTTTGTTTGGTTTGAGGGACGGGTGCTGCCCGAACTCCTGGACTTCAGCAGGCCCTCACAGACGAGGGGCGCGGGGAGCCCGCCGGACCCACGGAAGGAGTCGAGTCCCCAGGAGGGCGCAGGCGGGGTGCCCTGAGCTGGGGCCCTTGTGTCTCAGGGCTGGGCCCGAAGGAGAGGCAGAGCTGCCCGTGGGTCAGGGAGGGAGACTGGGAGGCACTGTGGGGAAGGACCGTGGTGGCCTGGACCAGGGCCCAACCTTCTGGGAGAGGAGCATCTCGTCGTCAGGGTGTGAGTGTGGGAGGGGCAATGGGGCCCCCAGCACAAACCCTGGCGAATTCGGGGCTCTCGGCTTCGCCCTTCAGAGGCCTTTGCCCTCCAGGTTTTCCTCAGCTCCTGCAAGGTGGGCCACGGCTAGGGGACTGTCCAGTTCACACTCCTCATGCACCCCACACACTCACCGCAGGCAGGCAATGTACTAGGAGCTCATGGGTTTTTTTGTTTTGTTTTGTTTATACTGGGGATTAAACCCAGGGATACTCAACCACTAAGCCACATCCACAGTCATTTTTATTATTTATTTTTAGACAGGGTCTTGATGGTTTTTTTTTTTTTTTTTTTTTTGTGTGTGTGTGTGTGTGTGTGTGTTGCTGGGGATTGAACCCAGGGCCTTGTGCATGCAAGGCCCTGAGTTTTTTTTCCCTCTATACTCCGTACTCATCTTGGCATGTTCAGTATTCTGAGCTGGGTTTAGGAGACAGACAGTAATTTCTAGATGCCTCTTTTAAGGTTGATGATGATCCTTAAAAAAAAAAAAAAAATCAGTGCTGAGGCTTGTTGTGGTGGCACACGCCTGTAATCCCAGCAGTTTGGGAGGCCTAGGCAGGAGGATTATGAGTTCAAAGCCAGCCTCAGCAATTTAGCAAGGCATTTAGCAACTCAGCAAGACCCTATCTCTAAATAAAATTTAAAAAGGCTGGGGATGTGTCTCAGTAATTAAGCACTCCTGGGTTCAATCCCAATTACCAGAAACAAACAAACATTCATTCCTTTTGCTCTCTTCTCCCAAACTTTTCTTTTACCTGGGGTGTGCATATAATGGCTAGAGCTCTGGCAGCTCTGGACCATGAGGAGTATTGTGGATTGAATTGTGTCAACCAAAAAAAATATGTTGAGGGCTGGGGCTGTAGCTCAGTGGTAGAGCGCTTGCCAAGCACTTGTGAGGCACTAGGTTCGAACCTCAGTACCACATAAAAAAGTAAATAAATAAAATAAAGGTATTGTGTCCATCTACAACTAAAAACATTTTTAAAAAGATATGTTGAAGCCAGGCATGGTGGCGCTTGCCTGTAATCCCAGCGGCTTGGGAGGCTGAAGCAGGAGGATGGTGAGTTCAAAGCCAGCCTCAGCAATGGCAAGGCACTAAGCAACTCAGTGAGACCCTGTCTCTAATAAAATACAAAATAGGGCTGGGGATGTGGCTCAGTGGTTGAGTGCCCCTGAGTTCAATACCCAGTACCCCCCCCCTAAAAAAAAATGTTGAAACCCTAACTCTCACCTCAGAATGTGACTTTATTTGGACCATTGCAGATGGCATTACTTAAGATGGGGGTCACACTGGATTAAGGTAGACCATTAATCCAATGACCGCTGTCCTTATAAGCAGAGAAAATATGTACACAAGACAGTGTCATGTCAGATGGAGGCAGATTTGAGCTGTGCTGTGACAAGCTAAGGAGCACCTGAGGCCACAGAAGTTGGAAAGGCTCATGGAGCTGGTTCTTCCCTGGATGCCGGGAGGGAGTGTGGCCCTGCTGGCACCTTGCTTTGGGAGTTTTGGCTTCTAGAACGGTGGGAGAACCCGTTTCTGTCGTGTTAAGCACCCAGTCTGTGCTAGGTGGTGGTGTGAAGGCCGTCCAAGGAGACGGCTGCCAGGGACTCATGGTGGACACTTTCTGTGAGAACCGCAGGGCAAACTCATTGACAGTGAGCTGTCACACTCTGGTCTGATGACCTCTGGGACTGCTTCTGTGTAAGAGCAAAAAGGCCTCTTGTGTGGAGCCCCCCTGGTGATGCTGGTTTTGATTGGGAATGGGGTCCCACCTGGACAGCTCCTTTGACCTGGTTCTCTGGGTGGGGTCTTCACAGACCAGGGCTGGCGGCTGGAGGAACCCAAGACAGCTCTCCTGGTGGCTGCAGGTTGGGCTTTCTTCAAATAACTCTTTGTTCTGGGCAAGGAGAGTACAGCAGGGCTTCAAGGATAAGGCTGTCTTTATTGAAATAGGGGCTCCAAACCTGGGGAGGGAGAAGGGGACTCTCGAGGTTCTGGGGTTCTCTGGCTGCTGAGCCCATCCAAAGGTATGAGGAGCCCTGGTCAGAGGCAGAGTCAACAGCTGTAGACGGGCGGGATTATTAAAGGGTGATATTGTCCTCGTACAGTGACAGCAGCAGCAGGACGGTCCAGCCGCCCAGCAGCCCCACATTGTGCAGCAGGAAGAGGAGCCAGGGCCTGCGGTCCCGCACATTGAGCATGGCCGGGAGCTGAGGAGGGGGCACTGGGTTAGTGGCCGGCTTAGGCACCTTCTCAGCTCCCCACCCCAGGCTCCCGGCTGCCCCCTGACCATGTCACAGAGCGCCACGTAGAGGAAGAGGCCTGTGGCTACTGCCAGGATCCAGGCCTCGCTCTCCTCGCCGACTCCGACTGCCAGCGCCACGTAGAGGCCGGCAAAGGCCGTGAGCGCCGAGGCCAGGTTCAGCAGCAGCGCACGGCGCACCGACAGCCCCGCGTGCAGCAGGGCCGCGAAGTCCCCTGTGGGCAGGGTCCCTTCCAGAGGTCCGCGCCGCAGGCAGGCCCAGCCCACCTTCAGGACCGACCCGCTGCTGCCCAGGGTAGCCAGCCTCACCACCTGGCGAGGTGCCCCCGGCACCCAGGGTCCCCCCACCACAGAGGCCACGCCCTGACCGGTATCCCCGCCCACCAGAGCAGGCCTTGTCCCCGCAGCTCACCCAGCTCGTGAGGTACCTCGTGGCAGAACACCGCCAGCGAGGTGGCCAGCCCGGTCTTCCAGGAGGACGCGAAGGCCGCGCCCACGGCCAGTCCATCAGCGAAGTTGTGCACGGCGTCGCCCAGGGTGATCAGGTAGGGTAGCAGCCTCAGCTCTGCAGGCGCCATGGGCATGAGTCCTCTCAGGCCTACTCCCGCCCTGCCGCCCGCCCACTGCCCGCAGGCCCTGGTGCTCTGCGCCTCCCCAGAGCTCACCTGGGTTCAGCCTCCGGGGCTCGGGGTTCAGCAGCTCCGGGCTCTCCTCTGCCACCTGGGAGGAGCGAGGGGGAGCCCTGGCTGAGGTGGAGAAGGGGTCAGGCCTTGGCGTGGGGACGGGTCACGGGACTATGGAGGGTTCTCCTGAACCCGCCTCTGCATGGAGCAGGGGTGGCCCACTCACCAGGTCTGCGCTAGAGCCCTCGTGGGCCTGCTTGGGCTGCCGGAGCTCGCTGGGCGCCAGCTGCAGGGACACACCGTGGCTGTGGCCACCATGGCTGCAGTGCCCGTCCTTCTCTGGATCCTGTGGGGAAGGTGGTCAGGGGCTTTCAAGTCTCCTTCCTGTGTACCCACTGGGTCCCTACGAGCCTGACCTGGTCCTTGGGCAGCAGGATGTTGAAGAGGCTCTCAAACAGGAAGAAGATGTAAAGGCCTCCCAGCAYGGCCAGTAGACGCCAGGTGGACTGTGGGCCAAGGCCCTCCCCACTGTGTGTGTGGTCCTCTCCACTATGCGTGTGCAGCCCCAGCACCTGGGGAGCAGAGTGTGGGCGGGGGGGATTTAGGGCCCACAGGGGTGAAAGGCTGGGTCTGGGGAAGGCCAGGAGAGGGAGGGAAAGGAAGGACTCTGGCTGATGGGTGAGGACAGACCTTGGGTGTCAGGTGCAGGAGGGCATCACCAGTGAGTGCACCCACGGCCATGCTCAGGAAGGTCTGCATGATATAGTGGGTGGCAGAGCTGCAGTTGGCACAGGTCAGCAGCAGGAGGCCAAGCACAGCACAGAGGCAGATGAGTAGTGTGGCCAGGGAGCCATACAGATACCCTAGGGGGTGAGGCCACCCTGAGAACCCCCTGCTTCCCAAGCCCAGCCAGGGGATGAGCAGGAGTTCACCAGGGCTGCCTGTGGTCAGCAAAGGCCTTTGCTGACACTGGCTCTCCTGTCTCAAAGCCTCCCTGAGCCCCCTTGCAGGCCTCCTTCCTGGCCTGCCTCCCTCTCTACCTCCATTCCTCCCCATTCCCAGTAGCCACTCCCTCTTCCCTAGGTGGGCCCCACTCCTGAGGCCAGCACCTTGGGGCACAGCCAGGTAGGCCCAGCTGGGGGGTTGGGCACGCACTCTCTGTCTGGCTGAGCTGGTCCTGGGTGGGTGACTTTGCCTGGGGGCTGCAGGCCCCGCTCAGTTGCTGCTGGAGCAGGGCAGGGCTCAATCTGGTCCAGGCTTCGGGGCTCACCCCAGTCTTCTCAGACAGCCCATAAACAGCCATTACCTCCCTGGCACTCAGGCACACCTGTGGGGAGGTGTGCAGAACAGGGGTCAGGGGCTGAGCATGCACCCATGGGGCCCCCAGTCCTCCTAAGACTGCACAGGTGGCTCACCGTGTCCCACACACTGGAGCTGCTATTGAGGATGGCAAGGGGAACGGGGTCCCGGTTGTTGGCCTCCCTATCCAGTTGACCGTGGTCATCGTGGTCACTGTGGTTGTGGTCACTGTGGGCCTCTCCACCCACTCCCAGGCGCTTCATCAAAGCTTCCAGCTCTGTTAGGAAGGACAGAAGTATTGCACAGTCTATGGGCTCCAGGTCTGCCCTTCCCAGGGACATGGAGCCTGGGGGGTCTCAGCCCAGGTCTCACCCGCCAATGTCATGTTAGCTTCGCTGCTATGCTGCCGGAACACAAAGTCCACAAAGTACTGAGGGCTTGGCAGGGCATGGAAGCAGGACCCATTCCTGAAGTGGTCCAGCAGGGCGGCCAGGACAGGGCCCGGGTTTTGAGGAGCTCCTGCCTCCACTGCCTTCTCCAGCAGCTGAGGGACATCGACACAGGCCTGGGGAGGGGATAGTGATGGGAGCACCAGAATTATTAGAGGGTTATCGATTGTTGATTATGTTAATTAGTGTTAATTAGTGGGTTGAGTGAATGAGTCTATGACTATAAGTAATGTGCCCATGATGCAATGTGAACTGCAACACTTAGAGACAGACTTCAGTTAGTGATGTAAGCGTCTACACCCAGAGCGTACTCCCCAGACCTCACCCAGTTATCTGCCACAAGCACAACTGAACTAGGACTTAAAAACCCAGACTTCTATGGGGCGACGGGACCAACAGGACCTGGACAAAGAGACGGAAGCCTCACTTGCTGTTTTCCCCCCTGCACCAGACTCCTCTGGCTTGGATGAGTTCCAGGGACCCAGACTTAAGACATGTCACAGGTGAGCACCTGGGACCCTTGGTGTTGACTCAGTTAGGACTTAGAATTAGGATGTCTAAAGTGTGATGAGCATTAATAAAACAGATTTGGTTGAATCTAACTGTGCCTGAGACGGAGTCTGTAGTAACCACTCAGCCCCACCCTCAATGAACTTCTGGACTCCAGCTCTGCCTTCACCTGTTGGATATGTCTCCCACTGATCCACAGGGTCTGCACCCACCAGCCTGATGCACTTCCTGGATTCGGAACCACTTCTTTCTTCTCACCTACGACCTGGCTAGCCTCAGTTCTTCCCTGGGGCCACAGCCCAGCCCCCTGGCCTAGCTAGTCCGGGCCCCCAGTCTGCTCTCTGGCCTTCTTGGGGCACCAGAGCCTTCCTGGTCTCCCGTCACTGGGGAACCCCACACCCTACTCCGTCTTTCCTGGGACTCCTGGCTCTGGCAGTCCCTGACCCAGTCAGTGTAAACCCCTATGAGATCCCCCAGGGCCACTCTACCTCCCAAGGTGGCCCCAAAACCTGGAGGGCTTTGTGGGGGTGTTTCCCCTGCTTTAGTCAGGACTGACCCCCTAATGGCCCCTTCCTGTGTTCTGGCCACTTTACCCTACTTCCTGACCAGCCCACATGGGCCCTCACCTCCTCCCCAGCAGGCTGGCCAGCAGCCTGGGCCCTGAGCTTCTGCAGCAGCAGACTTAGGCCCTGGGTCAGGGCCTCAGAAGTCTCCAGTGGGACCAGGAAGTGGTTGGCATGGGAGGCCCAGTGGCCAGCCTGGATGTCTGCACATGTGCTCTCTGGATTGCTAAGATAGAGAGCTGCAGCGGCACTGAGGCGGGCTATGKACCTGGACTCTAGGACTGGTCCTGGAGCCAGCCCTGGCTGGTCAGGCCTACCCAGGGCCAAGATATCCTCCACAGACAGGCACTGTGGGCAGAAACAGGTGGACAGGAGCTGGACTGGGCCCATCAGAGAGGGCAGAGGCAGGCCCTGGCAAGGACGGGCCTAGACCCTCTCTCACACTCTACCCTGCTCGTGCCCCTCACTTGGCTAGCACACACAAAGGTCCCCACCAGTCAGACCCCCGTCTCTGGGTGGTTTCTTCCTGAAGCCACAGCCAACTTAGTAGCCTGGGGAAAAGAGCGGAACTCTGTGTGGGGGGTGGGGGGCAGGCCTGTCAGCCCCCCGGAGGGGAGGAAAGGCTCTGGCCTGTGGTAGGCCTGGCCCTGGCCCTGGCCCTGGCCCGCCTCCTGGAGTTTGCCCAGCTCCCTTTGCTGCAGGCTGCAGGGTGGAGCAGGCAGGAAGCACTGGGGCTGGGGGACCCGCCGGGTGGGGCTGTTACCTTTCCACACGGCCCGCTGGTACAGTGCACACGGTCCACCAGCCTATTTAATAGGCTGCTCAGCTCCTCTCCATCCAGAGTGCCCTGGCCTGAGGTGAGCAGGCTCAGCAGACTGGCAGGCTGGGCCACCACCGCTGTTACCATCGTCATGGCCAACAGCAGCCCTGGTGTGAGCTGGGCTAGGAACACCATGCTTGGTCCCCAGAGTGCTCCGTGCTGTGTGGAGTCTGTGTGTCTGAGCCAGTTGTGGGCTGCTGGGACCAGACTAGGGTTGGGCTCTACAGGTCTGGCCCTAGCCCCAGGACCTCTCCCAGGTATTTCCTATAGGGCTCTGTGATTGGTTGCTGGAGGTGTCTGGGTTAACCATTCCAGTGGCAGGTCCTCCCTGATAGCCAGGAGCTGAGCTGCTGCCTGCTGGGGAGTAAGGACTGGGCTCCTTCCCCTCGGTGATGGCCTGGGCATCCCTTCCCTGCTGCCTAACCCAGAGTAGTGGTGCAGGGCCACCCCCTCTGCTCTCCCAAGGGCTCCCAGCTTCTCCTCCTGGGACTCTCTCTGGAGGTCACCCTCAAATTTATGCTCCTGGAGCAGAGCAGCACGAATGCCACGTGGGCACCTCAGAATCCTCCCCACCGACACCTGCCTTGGTGCCTTCCCAGCTGTCTCCCCAAAGCCTGTGGCCCAAGTTGGGGATGGGGCTGTGGTCTTCTGGGCCAGGCATGGGCTGCTGTGTAAGGAACCACAAAGGTGCTTGCTGAGTCATGGACCACACCCCAAGCCCTTCAGGGAAAATCCCCAGGAAATGGCCAAACAGGAAGGGAGGACACGACCTTCGCCCTGGCCCCATCTGCAGGGCTCTTGGGGTCAGGGTGGAACAGTGCTTCACTTTATGCTTTGAATGTGGCCTGCTGCTCACATGGGCCTGCTTCATTCTCTTGCTCCTCTCTAATCTCTCCCCTCCCAACCTCAGGGGAAGCAGGGTGAACTTTCTTCCCCATTTCAGGCATTTATCTTTCCTTGAATACACATCTATCACAGGAACAAAGTCATCCAGAGTTTGGGGATGGCACCAGATTTCAGGACGGGAGTCCCCTGTGTTTCTCCTTTGCCAGTCTGTTATGCTCGAATTCGGGACCCCCAAAGACCACCAGAGACCCAAGATCGATGTAAGCAGCAAAGAGGTGTTTATTGTGAGCTAGCTGGGTCCTCCGTGTGCACACACAGCAACTGGTGACCCTGAGAGGCCCCGAGCCCCGGGTTTGCAGCATTTTTATACACTCTTTGGAAAAGGCAGGGACTTCACATACATCATAGCAAATCATCACACACCACGGGAAAATCAAATAACAACTCTAAACCATGATTAGCACATTCACTGGCAGGAACAAGTTGGGGAGGGGTGATTGGTCAGAACAAAAGGGGTATTGGTTTGAACTGATTGGTTTGAGCCAAGAGGGCTGTAGGTGCTGAACTACATGGTTTCCCAACACGTTATCAACCACCATAAACTACTGGGGGGTCATCTGGCATCCCAGGTATTTCCCTGTCTCATGCTGATGGGTGGCTGCTAGGGGGTTGCTATGGATCCCCTCCTAGCCTGACTGAGTCAGGGACACCTGGGGCAGCAGATCTCTCCTGTTATTTGTAGATAAACAACTCAGCAGGGTGGGAATGTGCCTAGGAGTGCTCTGTGGGTCTTTCCAAGGACAAAGGTCATGTCCCTTTCTTGGACAGGCTTTGCTCTGAGATAGAGGCTGGTTTTTCAGTCCTTTTTCTCAAAACCATGTCCTTCTTATTGGATTGGTATCATGGGGACAAAGACCGAGAGATGAGCCATAAGGGCAGGAGGTCTGGGAAGTGCCCAAGCTCTGGGCCTGGGGCGGGTCGGGGGAGGCTGTGGCTCCCTTGCTGCTCTCTCTCCAGCCTTTGACCCCTGGGCCTTATCTCTACCTCTGTGCAGTCTGGGGGAAGGGTTGAACCCCAGGGATCTTGGACACCCCCAGGCCTAGGGCAGCCCTGCCTCTGGGCTCCTCCCACTGAGTTCAGCCAACCCCTGACACCTGAGCTCTGCAGGGTGGGGCTGGGTTGTTGAGCTGGGAGCCTGTGCCTAGGACTCTGTTCCCTAGCCCTGTAGGGTAGGGCAGGGCAGGGCCTGGTGAGCTTCAGGCTGTCCTGGACCCTGGGGTCAGGTGCCTCTCCTGCCTGTCCCTAAGTGGGAGTTAGGGCAGGGCCTGGGAGAGGCTGCCTGGGACAACAAAGAGGGCARCCCCACACATCTCTCAAGATGAGATGGCCAAAAATGGAGGTTTCCTTCTACTTCCTTCTACCACTGGGCTGGTTAGAGGCTAGGACCAGGCTGGCTTGAAACAGCCTCTGGCCACACAATGCTCAAATTGTCAGCTTCTGGGCAAAGATCTGGGCTGGGTCTGATGTTCAGGCCTTCCCTAACCTCTGCACCCCAGGGGCCAAAACTGTCTGAGCCCTCAAAGGTCAGTGCAAGGCTGGCCTTTGCCCAAAGGGCCTCAGTGCCTTCTCCTGTGCCCTCCCACTCTCCCAATGCCCTCTTGTCTAGTCTCAGAGCAACCACTGAGAGCATCCTCAGATGGCTTCCCTCCCCAGTAAGGCCAGTCCTCTGGGTACTTGTGAGGATGGCCCTAGGCCTGAGCCTAAGCAACTCCATTTTAAAAACTCCAGTTTGAAACCTGCAGGCTCACCAGGCACACCCACAGAGCCCTCCAGTGTGGCCTCAGACAGTCACTTCCCCTGACCCTCATCAACAGAGTGAAGCCTGGCAGGCTGTCCTCSCCTGATAAGAGGGAAGGGCGAGAGGATGGGGTGGGGGGAGACACCAGACCAGATGTTTCTGACCCCAGGGTAAATGATGTCACTGAGAAATCCAGTGGTAGCTGATAAGGATTGAAAGGGGGGTCAAAAGCCCCAAATTTAGTGTAAATAGTAGAGCAAATGAACGGGATTCAGCCACCCGAAACAAGGATGCACTCCAGCTGGAGAGCCTGATGAGGACCTGACGTCCCATCACTTGTCATCCTTCCTGAGCCTCTGCGTGATCGTCACCACTCTCAAACTCTACCGCCTCGTCCGAACCTTGGTGAGAGCTGCAACTTCTCCCTAAGACCCCCTCCTCAACCGGTCGTCCACTCCGCGCCAGGAAAAGCCTGCTTGGTTCCGGACCTGGTCACCACAGTCTGAGTGGGTGGGCATCTGCTGGACATAAAGCCTAAGACTTAGGACCTTTGAACTTAGCCTGCAGAGGGGTGTCTGTCATTAGTCTGCTGTGATTAAGAGTGCTTGCAGTGCTTAGACTGAACCTAGAGTTGTTTGCTGTGAAGTGATTATGTCTGTTGCAGTGCCYAGCATTAAGGATTGTCSTTTTCTTGGTTAAGAACCTACAGAGTGAAACTGTATGGAGTGATCTGAGAGAATAAAGCATTGAAAGGGGCAGAAGGGCATGGACATTCTTTATTTCTCCCCTCGACTGCATACATCGCAATTTTGCCCTCTTGCGACAGTACCGAACCCTTTCCTGCATCCCAGATCCTCTGCGTCATTCCATCATCCAGTAAGCTCAATGTAATCGCACCCATCATAAAAACAAAACACTAGGTGGAGGAAGTAACCCAGCAGTAGAAGGCTGGCTTAGTGTGTGTGAGGCCCTGGCTTCAATCCACAGTACAGTGAAAAAACAAAAAGCCTGTCACAGCTGCATTACGCAAAACAGCCAGGAGGTGGAGCCACCCAGTGCCCACAGAGGGGTGAGTGACAAGCCAGTGTGTGTAGGTGCAGGCGTGCTGGAGCAGCATTCTGCCTTTTAGAAGGGCGGAAATCCCATCACATGGTACAACACAGGTGCACTAGAGGACACTGCTGAGTGAAGTACAGACATTCCTAAAAGGACAAACAGTGGATTCCACCTACACACTGGGGCTGGAGTGCTCAAATACAGAGAGGAAGCAGAAGGGTGCTAGGGCTCGGGTGGTGCTTCCTGGGTGCTGAGGTTCACCTTGGGAAGATGGGGAGTTCAGGCAGTGAAGATGGCTCACTGCAGCAAAATTGCCTGAAGTCACTGAACTGTGCACTCCAAATGGATACAGTGGCAAATTTATTACAATAAAAGAAAAGAGATCAAAGCAACATACCTTCGCCACCAGCCCCTCTGAACTCCTGCAGGCCTTACATGCTGTAGTATCAAAAGGCTGTTTCTGCCAGGTGTGGTGGCTGAGGCAGGAGGATCGTGAGTTCAAAGCCAGCCTCAGCAAAAGTGAGGCGCTAAGCAACTCAGTGAGACCTTATCTCTAAATAAAATACAAAATAGGGCTGGGGATGTGGCTTAGGAGTCGAGTGCCCTTGGGTTCAATCCCTGGTACCCCTTCCACACACACAAAAAGGCTATTCCCCAGCCACCAAGGCTGTTCTACCAGCACCCCGCTCTGCCGTACCCTGGTGCCATGTGCTGCAATGTTTAGCATGCCTCTCTCGGTCTTGTGGCTTACTGCTTTTCCCTGGGTGCCTTTTTTTCATACCAGGGTTTGAACCCAGGTGTGCTCTACCACTGAGATGCATTCCCACTCCTTTTTATTCTGAGACAGGGTCATATAAGTTGCTCAGGCTAGTCTCAAACTTGTGACCCTCTTGCCTCAGCCTTCCTAGTAGTTGAGTATGGTGGCCTAGTATGGTGGTACAAGCCTGTGCCACCCTACCTGGCCAGGACAGTTGTCTCTGACATGAGTCAGGTTCACAACAAATGCCAAAATGGACTGCTAGGGCAGCTGGCAGCCTTGTTATGGTTGGTAGTTTTTCATCAAGCCCCAGGCTGCCTGGAGCACTCAGGTGCTGAGTGGGGAGGCTGGCGTGGCAGGCGCAGTGGAGATTCCCCCAGCCCTCCTATGTGCCCAGGCAAGGCCCACTGGGGAGGACAATGCCCCTGCAGAAACAGACTGTGTGCAGAGTGGAAGTGACAGGGCCAAGCTCCCATACTGACTTGGGGAGCAGTGGCTGCAGGAACCTACCAGAAGGTCAGCAGGGTAGACAATCAGGCAGGGCAGGCCCAGGGATGCTACCCACCACAGGCAGAACAATAGCATCTTTATTGGGGGTGAGTCTTGACAACACAGACACAGACAGCTGCTCTGGACATCAAGTCTCACAAAGCTGTCCAGGGTGGGTATGGCCAGAGGAAGTGGGGCATGGTCCCCTAGGTAGCCATCCCCCATCCCCCATGGGCCACTCTGAGGCTCAGGCGTGCAGGAAGCGGTTAAAGGCGTTGTAGGCGGACTCCAGATCGAAGAGCATCTGCCGTACCTGGGAGTCATCCAGCTCATCAGATGCTGACATGCCGCTCAGGGTCTGTAGCCTGGAAGCAGAGTGAGTGGGGGTGTGGGCAGCAAGGCCACGAGGGCCCCTCGGTGAGGGCCTACATAGGAGAGGCACTCACCATTGGCTGACTGTTTGGCGGCCCTCAAAGTCTGGGGGCAAGTGGCTCATGCGGTGCATGGTCTCCATCAGCTCCCGCAGGTCAGGCTGGATCTGCAGACACAGGTGAGGGGCTGGGACTCTGGCCCTGCCTGCCCACCCACCCAGTCCCCATTCCGTCCGACTCCTTTACCTCGTCCATGGCGCGGATTTCCAGGCGCAGTTTGTCCATTACTGTGATGAAGAGCTGGGGGGGCATGTACGAGGTTTCGCAGACCAGCTTGGTGTAGGGAGGCCCCTGGCAGGTTCCCAAGGCCTAGCCTGCCTGCTGCTCCCACCTCAGGTTCTTCACCATACCTGATCCCGAAGCCCTGGGGCTCCTTCCTGTCTGGGGCATTATGTGCAGGACCCTCCTGGGGTGTCTCCTGGCTGCAAGGAGAGCTATGTGGAAACTATGGGTACACCTACATACAACTTTCCCAGGCCAGGATCTTGCCAGAGTGGACCCTGAGCCTGTCTCATAGGTGCCTGTGGGCAGCCAGGTGGGCTTTGGGATGCTGCTCAGCTGAGGCCCTGGGACTCTATACCAGTGGTGGGCTGCAGCAAGTCCTCCCGCCCTCCCAGGAGACTGGGCTTACTGAGACAACATCAGCAATACAGCGGTTGAGGTTGCCCTTGTCATCCTTGATGGTGATGGGCCTGTCTTCCTTAACCCTCTCCATGGCGAGTGGGCAGTCCAGCTGAAGGGAGCAGATGCAGGTGCTCAGTCTTGCAGAGGGGCAGGCCCTATGCAAGCCATGGCCTCTTCTCAGGGGCACCCCACCTCACCCTTCCTGGGGTGTGGAGAGAATGGCTCACTCACGCGGAACTTGCGGCAGAATTCATCAATGGAACTGATTTCTGAGCCTTGAACCTGCCGGAAGGCAGCTTTGTACTGGACCAGGAGTCGAGAGCAGGCTGCAGTGTACCTAGTGAAAGGGCCAGCTGCTACCCATGCCTGAAACCAGCCCCCRCTCATCCTGCTTTCCCCAGCCTGTTCAGACATAGTGGCTCTCATGGAAGACCAGGTGATGGAATCAGAGACTGGACACTGAGGGCTGAGGCTTTCCATCAAGTCTGTACAAGACAAGAATTCTGGTGGAGAGCAGAGGCCAAAATACGATGGCCACAGGGCATAAGACTCACATTGGCACACGTTCACATTGTCCTGAGGGGCCAATGGCTTGCTGGGCTTATTACCTCACTGAATGAAACCCCCACATCCACACTGGGTGCCAGGCCTAAGTAGCACTGCCTCCTACTGGACATCCCCAACCTCCCTCCTGGCCTCCAAGGACTTTCCACGATTCTGGTCACCCATGCCTGGAAGATAGGGCCAGGAGCACACATATTTGCATGTCTGTCCTTCACGAGATGTTTCCACCCAGGCAAGGTTTCCCTGGTTGAAATAGCACCGAGGCCACCTAGCACCCAGGAGCATCACCATGATGCTGGGAGCCCTATAGAAGTGAATGCCCCGCAAAAGCCCCAGACCACTATTTCTGCTGCCTACTGAGCCCCTCTGCCTTGCAGAGCGTAGAAATTGGCTCCCAAGGTAGGGTACCCTTTGGACATTGAAGGGTAGTGGGCTTGCTCACTCGTTGGGGGTGACGCAGTCCTTGATGTATGCTTTTTCCAGTGCCTGCATTGTCTTCACTACTGCAAACAGCTCTGCCATGTTGTCATACCTGAGACAATCTGACCATCAGGCATGGCCCTGAAGCAGGGAAACCTCCCACAATGGGACGCAGCTATGGTGGAACTGTCAGCCCACCTCGCAGCCCATCCCTGGCAGATGTTCCTTGGAAAATGTTCCCCAAACCCGACCCCATGTTGTCTTCCCCAACTGCCAATGTGGTGRTGGGTTTGGGGGTGGCTACTCCCAGGAGGCTTGGATGGGCACAGGTGCATGCTGGGGGCAGCCTGGATGCTTGACTTACTTCTCCCTCTCCCGGGCATTCTTGTACAACTTCACTTCCTGTTGGAGAGAGTAGGTAACATGTCACCCAGTTGCATCTGGTGGCCCCAGGGGCCAGTGGGGGTCCACACAGCTGTTTGCTGTGGGCCAACACCGGCCAGGTGGGCACCTGTCACTCACCTCATACAGCTCTGGCTTGTTCCCAGGGGCTGCAAGAGAGTAGGCAGAGAGCTAGCAGGCTGGCCACAAAGTGACCCCAGGGCAGTTTCTGATCCCAGCCCCATTCAGTTTCCTCCCTCAGGCCTCTCCTGAGCTCTATCCCAAAGAACTTAGATGGAGCTGAAGGATGGGGGTTCCCATTTTCACCCCCAGTCAGTGGGCAGGATACTGGTTTTGAATGGCTGTGGCAGGCCTAGCTGCACAACAGGGAGAACCCCACTTTGTTTACAATGCCACAGTGTGGTGCAAATAAAGCTTGTCACACACCTTACAACTTGGGCTCAATGCAGGAATCCCCAGGATGCCGATGCTCTGTGCACACTGAAGCTCATCATCTCTGTGCTGAGCAAGGCCAGGCTAGCTCTACCTGGAGGTCTTGGGGCTCTTACTGTTTATCTCTGGCCACCTCCAAGGCAGTACRAAGGTGGGGGGAGGTCGGTGACTTACTGACTCCCTCCCCTAACACATTCCCATCAGCCACGCCACAGCATAAGCCTGGGCCCTTCCTGTTCTGCTTGGTGCAGGCATACTCACCTCCCATGCCGGGAGTGGCTGGGATCCCGTGAAACATCCTGCAGGCTCTGTCAGCCACAAGTGAGACCTGGGGAGTACATTCAGCACCAATTCAAGAGGACCCTGACACCCTGAGTCAGGCCCTGATGGACATCTTCCCCACTGGCCCTCCACAACTATCAAAACACAGAGCCCATGGGGTGTCAGAAGCGAGAGAGGCTGGAGGCACTGAGAGTGATGTGCAGGACAGAAGATGGAACCCCCATCCTTCTGAGACAGGAGGAAGTGACAGTTGTTGGAACACAGCATTTGAGGCAGAGGAGAGCAACCTAGCACCACCCTTCAGAGAGGGGCTGGGCTTTCTGAGCCCAGGATGTTCTAGGGTAAAAGGAAGGAGAGAGGGTTTTATCCTAGTATGGTAGGAACTATTGGAGTGCTAAAGGCAAGCTCCTCGTGGGACGGCTCCCTGCCAGGCAGGGGCCTTTTGGAAACACGACCCCTGCAACGGTCCTGCCTACTAAGGAAGTTGGGGGAATGGCTGAGGCGTGAAACCACAGTCGCAACGAAGAATTTGAGACAGGGTGGAAATAAAAAAGGAGTTAGAAGTGAGACGCCCGTTTCTGGCCTAGTGGCACCGGGACGGTGGGCGAACCCTGACGGCAGGGGCCTGGTGGGCAGGTGCGGGCGGCGTCGCAGGGAGTCGCCGGCCTGGCGCGCGGTCCCCGAAGCAGCATCACAGCTCGCCGGCGGGATGGAACCCCGTGCTCCGGCTCCCTCCGAGCTCCCAGGGACACAGCGCGGGGGCGCCCGCGGAGTCCGAGCACCTGGGAGGGCGCGAACGGGGGACGTCCGAGGGGTCGGGTCGAGGGGCCGCCCGCCGCCCAGGCCTGTCCCGCCCCGCCGCGAGTACCTGGGCGCTCTCGGCCGCTCCCGGAGATGGCGCCGGGGCGGAGCGCTCCCGACAGGCCACTCGGCGSTCGCCCGCGCCCACTGGAAAGGGCGCGATCGGCAGCTCGGCGCTCGGCGCTCCGGCCTGCGCTCCGCGCGGGGCTAGCCTTGGCCACGCCCCCGCGGGCCGGACCCACCCTCCTCCCAGGAAGCCACTCCAAGAAGGCAGCAAAGACGTTTATTGAGGCTTCTGGGCARGGGACGGGCAGGGTCAGAGGTCGCGGAAGAAGAGCTGGGGGCCCCGGGTCAGAGTGCAGGAGCTGGGACTCTGCAGCCGCTGGCGCAGGGCATCGTGGTCCTCGGCACACAGGCCTCTGCTACATAGTTGGAGCTCCCGCAGCTGCGTGGTGATTTTGTCCCAGAGACCCGGGCCCAGGGGACCCTGGACAGTGCAGCCTGGAGGGCAAAAAAGTCCTGCTTCATCGTGGGAAGGAGGTGTTCTTGGCCCATGGTCAGGCAGATGGGCCCACTGGTGGACGCCACCCACCAATAAAATGAATTTTTAGGAGATCTCTATGTTGTGGGCCTGAGGGCTCAAGAGCTTGGTCCTCTGGCCAGAAAGCCCAGTAGCCTCAGAACCTGGGGAAGCTGCGTGGCGTTGCAGGTGCCAGGAATCCAGCCAGGTGTGGAAGCAGGAAATGAACTCAGGGGTTCCCTTGTGCACAAGCCTATGTCCCCTGAAGGGCAAAGCCTGCCATTCTGCCCAGGCCTCAGCTAGGGATGCCAGGCTGCTGGTGGGCCAGTTCACCAAATGCCTCTCTTCCGGAGCTGTCCTTCAGACAACACAGGTGGGAGCTGCCCTGGTGTTGCAGAACAAGCTACATTGTCACAGCCTGGACAGAGAGGGTCAAAGCAACCCCTGCCAGAAGGTGAGAGGGTCCCATTGTGGCAGTGAACCTGGACCCTGGGTTTCCTCTTTCTGCCATGGAGAATGAGGAGATCCCTGTGGACGAGGGGCCTGTTATTGTCTACACTTGAGGGTGAGGCTGGATTGGGGAGAGGCAAAGACCCCAGGCTCCCCTGTCCCTTTCTTGTCATGCTCCACACTCTTTCATCATGCTGGCTTCTTAGAAGTTCCCTGAGCCTCAGCCTGTGAAAGCGTGGCAGAGGTGGCCACCATACTCAGCCCTCACCTGAAAGGCCAAGGAAGTGGAGGCCTTGGGGCCTCTGCTGGAGGGCAGACAGGAGCTCCTGGAGGCTGGCACAGCTGATTTCAGGGTTGGCAGACAGGTCCAGAGAGATGAGTGAGGGGCAGAGAGGCAGGCACCTGAGACAGTGTGGGAAGTTCAGGGATTAGCTTCCACAGAAGCCCTCACTCAATCTCTAGGGAAAGCTGCCCTACAAACCCTAGCTCTGGGAGCCATAGGCCAGGCCCAGCAGGCTGTGGCCCAACACAGCATAGGGAAGGTTGGCAGCACTACCTAGAGGTCGAGACTGCCAAACTCRCACACCTCTTGTCACTCCCCTTAGAGCCAGCCAAGTCTCCAGGGACATGGACTGATGCACAGAGGGTGCCAAGAAAGGCCATATAAGAGGGAAAGCTCTCAAGAGTCACAAGAGTATGGTAAAAAGAAAAAAAAAAAAAAAACCTTTAGGATAGCAGCATGCTTGCCAGGTCAGCCCTAAAGACAGGGTGGATGGCAGAGGAACAGGGTTCCCAGGTCTTCAGGTTGAGACCCCCAATAGGCAACAGGGCAGGGGCATCACCTGCTTAGTTCTCTCACAGCTGCGTCATTCAGGTAATTTGCAGACAGGGTCAGGTGGACCAGAGCACAGTCTTCCTGGACATAAGCACAGGGAGGGAGCCAAGCCCAGTGGGCACTGGACCTCCCTCCCTCCTGGCAGAGGTCCCCACACCCAGGAAGCCCCTGAACTTGGAAGTGAGAAGGAAATTCTTGGCACCTTGTGATGTGAAACCACAAGGACTCCGTCCCTGGGAGAAAACACAGGGGCTTGGTGTGTTCCTCGGGAACTGTTTGGGGTAGAGAGGCCATCCCAAGTCCCAGATGTCCTTTTTGGTGGCCAGGAATTCATAGCCTGAGGCAGGTGTCTGTACAGGTGTCCTGCAGCTGTTTGTCCCAAATCAATCCCTCCAACCTCCCAAAGGTCACAGTTATGGGAACCTTTGTTCTCTGAAGCCTCATGTTCTGGCTTTTCCCCACCTCATACCTTGGCCAGATACCTGACAATGGGCTCCATGAAGCCCAAGTCACTCTTGCTGGCTGCCACGGAGCCAAGTTCTAGGTGCAAAAGAGTACAGGTGGGCAGGCTTTGCAGGGCCTTGGTCAGGGCAAGGGCACCCAGGGCATTGTAGGATAAGGACAGGGTCTTCAAGCGCTCAGCATCTGTACCAGGACCAGAATTTGTAGGCCTCATGTGGCCACCATCCTACCCACCCTCCACCCTGAGTTCTGGGCCTAGAACACTTATGACCCCTTTTGGAAAGGCTCTTCTCCATTAATTTTGTGGGGAAACAGGTTTAGTGGCAACGGCTCTTGCCCAAGTTCTCTTGAGCCCAGCCTTCCCCACCCACCAATCCCTGGCTGCTGGAGATGGGCCCTGGGCCAGCATATCTGTGGGGGGATCAGAAGGAACTCACACCACKGTTGCCCAATATAGCCCCTGCCCCAGGGATTCCCTAGGTGGCTCTATTCCCAGCCTCTTGGCACTAGGGCTGCCAGTTATGCTCATGGCAGAACTGAGGCACGCAGAAGGCTCTAGCCATAGGCATTTGGTGGGGTTCAGGGCAGAGATGGCCTGCCTGGGATCCTGCCTGTAGTGTGCTGTGGTCTGGGAGCACAGCCCAGACTGGTCCAGCACCCACACGTCTACCTGTGCGTTCAGAGGAGTTAGCTCCTCCTGAAGAAGCCAGGCTTGAAATCCCGAGCAAATCCCATCTTGGTCCTTATGCCCAAGACCCTTAATGCCTCCACACCTGGCTCAGGGATTAGACCTGCCTGGTCAGCTCACCTTGGAAGGCACTGCCCAGGGCTGCCTGGTGGCTCAGGAAGAGGCTGGGACCAAAACCACAAGCCTTCAGGCGCAGAGTGCTGAGTAAGGGGCAGGCCCGCAGGAGGGAAGCCAGGGCCTGACCACAACTGTCTCCTAGAGGGTTCATGCTTAAGTCCAGCTCCTGCAAGTTCTGTGGAAAACATGGTGAGCACTGAGCCCCTTGACATCCATGGGCCCAGTCCCCTGAGGTCTAGTCTCCTTGCAGGATCCCTGTTTCAGGCTGGGCATTGGCCAGTTCTCCCAGCTGTTGCAACCTGTTACTAGAGTTTCTGGCCTGCTGCACCCTAGGCTCTACCTGCAAGGTGGCCTGGCCTTGAGGGCCCCCGGCAAGTTGGCGTAGACTTTCCTGGCCCAGGTGATTAGACGAAAGATCAAGGAGGACCAGGCTGGGCATGGTGCTCAGAGCAGCCAGCAGCTCACTGGCACATCCATCCCCGAGCCGATTCCCTGCTAGGTGCAGCTCCCGGAGCACTGTGTGTAGCTTGAGGGCTCGAAGCAGGGGTGTGAGCTGGGCCTGGCTCAGGGCCAGGGAGCAGGCACTGAAGGAGGGGCTTGAGCCCTGGTGCTCCATGGCCTGCAGCACCTGTTGGTGTTCCCCTGATGAGGGAGACATGGGGTTACTAGGGCCAGTGCCTACATTTTGCCTTTGGAGTTCTGTGGACAAACCAGGCAGCCCCAGGAGTTAAAGCTGAGTCTATTCCCACAAGCCTGGGATTCAGTGCCATGAGTATCTGCACAGGTGGGCCACTCTCACATCTCCTTCTCCCAAAAAGCTTCCCAGCAGCTCCTTTCCTGAGCTCAGGGTTGTCTGCCCCCACCTGTCACCCACACGTGGGGGCAAGGGTTAGGCAGGGAAGGGTGCACCACAGAACTGGAAATGGCAACTGGAAGATGGGCCTGCATACCAACCACCTCTGCTCAGGGCTTCACCTAAAGCCAGGCTCTTGGAGCCCTTACCTTGTCCCAGGCTCTGGCAGGCCCTGCGGTAGCGGTCGATAAGCGGGGGCAGGTCCCATGAAGTCACTTCAGCCAACACCTGAAGAGCACCGTTGGTGAGCACCATTGGTGAGCAGCCTGGAGAGGCAGCTCCTAGGGGTGGTCTGTGCCCATGGCTGTGGCTTACCTCATCGTTGTTCTGCAGCACATCAGGGATGGAGTCCTGCGGGGCCAGCAACGCGCCCTCCTTCCGCAGGCTGAGTCTGGGCAGTAGCCCACAGGTCTGGTAGTAGCGCTGGGAGGCCTGCTCAGCCAGCCAAGCCACAGACTGGACCTCACTGTTGGGGGAGGGTGGGATGCTGCACCCACAAGATGTCCTAGGGTTCTGCCAACACTGCTGAGGTCTACAGCTTTCTCTCCTGGTGGATTTCCCATCCCCTCCCCTGAATAGCAGCCTTCTGTCCCTGCAGCCTGGCATCCTACCTACTCCTCAGACTACTCCTAGGGACAGGCCACCAAGGCAGTCATCACACACCCCACCCTGACATGTACACAAAGGAACTGTGTACTGTGCTACCACTGAGGGCTCAGGCAAGGGGCTGCATGGTGGGCAGGGGGGACTGGGGTTCAGAGAGGGTAGATGTCACCATACCTGTGTGGGACAGGGACAAGGAAAAGATTATCCTGAACTTGAACTCGAATCCGGATGGGAGGAGGCTGTACTAGACCCTGATAGGAGGAACAGGGGACAGGGCAGTCAGGAAAGACAGAGGCCTCCATCTCCACCTGCCCAAGCTGGGGGTTAGCTCTGCTGCCAGCTTGTCACCCACCAAGGGCTGGCCTGTTGCAGGGCTTTCCCCAGGGACCCTGGGCACGTTGGGATTCTCTGGGAGCTCTGCAGCCAAGCTGCTGCCTCCAGCTCTGTCCAGTGTGCTGCAACTCTCAAGACAGGTCAGGCGGCTCTGCCTGGTCCGGGTTCGGGGCCTGGCAGAGTGTTCCTCATCGTCTGGCCCTACAGCACTGGGCCTGTTGCTGTCCCCACTGCCCTGGGGGCGGGGCGGGCGGAATGGGCGGCTGCGGGGCAGGGGTGTGTCCAATTCCAGCCAGTCT